TATCATTCATATTAGACACATCAATATTATATTTCAAATAAAATATAATGACTTTTTCATGTAACTTATTCCAACCATAATTATTTCACTAATTTTTCTAATCATTTTTTACATTATTAACAAGACTCTTTGTTGCAAAGTCTTTGATCATAATTTTTTTTATAATAATTGCATCGTTAAATAAGCAATAGATATAAAATAAAATGTTACCATTTTCTCACTTAATTCAAAATAGTGAATTTAATTTTTTATACCTACGTCTTCATCAAATATAACTTCAACCATATAATCAGCGTATTTTACATGTCAAAAAATTTTAAAATTGTACTCAAATAAAAGCTCCAACAACTATCACCCGGTAGAATTAGATATTTTTTTTCCCCCTTGAGTTTTGCTCTTTCCTGTACTAATCTTACATTCTTACTAGATTTTATATATTTAAGAATATTTTTATAATTCGTCATAATAAAAAAAGAATATTTTTATAATGCCTTTATAAAAGATCATTATATATTTTACATAATGATCTAACTAAATTCACAATTATAATAAGATAATTGAAAAAAATATTGACTATTTTATTATTTCTCGTAGATGTCGCAATCATTTATTTTTATTTTATTTTTTTTTAAAAAAAAGAATATTTTTATAATGCCTTTATAAAAGATCATTATATATTTTACATAATGATCTAACTAAATTCACAATTATAATAAGATAATTGAAAAAAATATTGACTATTTTATTATTTCTCGTAGATGTTGCAATCATTTATTTTTATTTTATTTTTAAAAAAAACCATTAATATCACCACTCATATTAAAAGTTTCATAATAATTTTGACTTTAACTTTAAATAATAGAATGTATGCTTTGCAAATAAAATTATCAACTAAATTTTACAATGACTATGCAGAAGTATCAATAATATACATTACTCTAAGAATTTTGTGCTATTAGTTCCTTAAAATCATTAACGAAATTCAAGATTATAGACAATTCTTCATTTATTAAACTAGAGCAAATTTTATCAATCAAAAGTAAAAAATATTTATTATCAATCTAATTAACAACAATTTGTCTTACTTTTATTGCACAAGCATTATTATTTTATTTCTTAAATTTTGAAATAAGTCATTTAACTATTCTCTAACATACTAAAGTGCATTGATACATTTATAAACTTTGGATGATACTCTCATCCAAGAGCTTAGAAAAACTACTTATAAATAAATAAAAGCATTATAAATTTACAATGTAATTAATAATGTCAATTACTTCATTCGTCATGCAATTCTGCGCTCGTCTGACCGAGCACAAATATTAATATGGAAATGTATTTTTTGACCTTTTGTACTTTTCAATACATAAAATATATGAGCAAAATTATATTTTTAAGTACAATTAAAATATTGATAAAAATAAATATAATTGTTGGGGACTTAATTTTTGTTGTAATATTATTATAGGATTAGCCAATAAAAATATTAATTACTTCTACTGCTAACCACTATTTTATATTTTGTATTATATTATATATTGTATATAATATATAAGTAAATATATATATAGATGTGCGTGCGTGAGTGTGTGTATATATATATGTATGTAGTATGTAAGCTAGTGTATATATATTATATTATATAATGTATGTATGTATATATATATTTATGTATGTATGATATTGTTGACGAGAGATATGAGGAGAACGAATGGATTCTTGATTTGGAGTAAATGAAAGTGTATGCATTCGATTTTATTCACGGACATATTTATAGGCGAACAAACCCCAACACGAAGGAAAGTAAAAAGCATACATATCTATTACGTAGCACCCGTGGGTGCTACCTGTATAACACTCTCCCTTGGATACTTTTATACAGAGAATGTGTCTTGTTAAAACCTTATTAGGAAAAAACCCTGTGGGACAAAAAATCCTAGTGAAGGAAAAAGAATACAACATTCTTGTATCGATTCGCTCTCCCTTATCTGAGCATTATTTGAGATTCCTTAACCAACGCATCCCAATTTTCTTCACTAGTTTTTCAAATGTTGCCGTCGGCAATGCCTTGGATAATATATCCGCCAAATTATTATCTGATCGAATTTGTTGCACATTGATTTCACCATTCTGTTGTAGATCATGAGTAAAAAAGATTTTTGGTGAAATATGTTTCGTTCTATCTCCTTTAATGTAACCCCTTTTTAATTGCGCTATACAAGCTGTATTATCTTCATACAATGTAGTTTGGGGAATTTTATCGTCAGGTATTAACCCGCAATTTTTCAGAATATGTTGAGTCATTGACCTCAACCAAACACATTCTCGACTAGCTTCATGTATTGCCAATATTTCAGCATGATTTGAAGAAGTGGAAGTTAAAGTTTGTTTCATCGATCTCCAAGAGATCATTGTTTCGCCATAAGTGAATATATAGCCAGTTTGAGACTTAGCTTTATGAGGATCCGATAAATATCCTGCATCGACAAATCCAATTAATTTCATGTCGAGAATCTTTCGAGTAAAATAACCCGAGATCAATTGTTCCTTGGAGATAGCGAAAAATGTGCTTAATCTCATTCCAATGTCGTCGAGTAGGTGATGAGCTGAATCATGTCAATAAGTTTACAGCAAATGATATATCAAGTCGGGTGCTGTTAGCAAGATACATCAATGCGCCTATAGCACTCATATATGGCACTTCTGCGCCAAGTGTTTCTTCGTTTTCTTCTTTTGGCCTAAAAGGATCCTTTGCTGGATCGAGTGCTCTAACGATCATTGGGGTACTTAGCTAATGTGATTTATCCATCATGAACTGTTTTAGTACCCTTTTGGTATAATTTGATTGGTGGATAAATGTTCCACTTTCCAAATGCTCAATTTGCAAACCATGGTAAAATTTGGTTTTTCAAAAATCTTTGATCTCAAACTCCATTTTCAGATATTCAACAGCTTTCTGGATTTCATCAGGAGTTCCAATTAAATTGAGATCATCGACATATACAACAATGATTACAAATTCAGACCCATTTTCCTTTATAAAAAACACATGGACAGATAGGGTCATTTATATAACCTTCTTTGGTTAAGCTTTCGCTGAGACGATTGTACCATATTCGACCCGATTGCTTAAGCCCATACAAAGATTTTTGTAATTTGATGGA